AAAAGGCGTGTGCACCACCGCCCGGCTAATTTTTTTAAAGATTAATTTATTTATAAATTATGCATAAATGAGTGTGCCTGTATAACTTTATGTGTGGCACTTGCATGCAGTTACCACTGAGGCCTGCAGAGGGCACTGGATCCTCTGGAATTAGAGTTACAGGCAGTTGTGAGCTGCCTGATATGAGTGCTGGGAACTAAACCCTGGTTCTCTGGAAAAGCAGTAAGTGCTCTTACCTATTGAGCCATCTCTCCAGCCCTCCTTTATCTTTTTTAAACTCAAAGTTCTCTTGGCTTTTTGTTTAATCAGCATATAAGATATTAGATACAAGGCATTTTCAAACAAAATATATTTTAGTAGATGTTCTCCCCCTCATCCCCCTCATCCCATTCCCCTTCATTTCCCCCTTCCAGTCTCTTTTCCTGTCTTACATATGCTTTTTCTAATCTCTCTCTCTATATATATATATAGATAGATAGATATATGAGATAGGGTCTTATTATTAGCTCTGGCTGTCATGGAACTCACTATGCTCACTATGTAGATCAGGCTGGCCTCAAACCCATAGAGATCCACCTGCCTCTGCTTCTCAAAGGCTGGGACTAACAGCATAGGTCACTATGCCTAGCTCTAACTTCTTCTTTTTTTTTTTCTTCAATAATTGAGTAAAACCGAAGTTTATTATAAGCCACAGTTGTCCTAGGGACCTCCATGCTATATATATAGCCTCTATGGTTCTATGGGTTGTGGTCTGATTGTTCTTTATTTTATATCTAGAATCCACTTATGAGTGAGTACATACCATGACTGTCTTTCTGGGTTTGGGTTACCTCATTCAGTCTAACTTCTTGATTACTGGTAAAGTAGAAAACTTTTGCGCCGGGCGGTGGTGGCGCACGCCTTTAATCCCAGCACTTGGGAGGCAGAGCCAGGTGGATCTCTGTGAGTTCGAGGCCAGCCTGGTCTCCAAAGCAAGTTCCAGGAAAGGCGCAAAGCTACACAGAGAAACCCTGTCTCAAAAAAAAAAAACAAAAACAAAACTTTTGCTTATGTTTATAAGTCAGTATTAATAGTTTTGAAATAGTTTGTCATCTATCATTACCTATGATTTCCTGAGGCTCAAAGAAAAACTGAGAGAACTAGAAGATATTTGAAAATAAAAAAGGCAGCTGGGGACATGTCACTGTAAGAAGATTAGATATGGCCAGCAGAGAGAAGGGTCTCTCATTACGAGGGCTACCTCTCTTTGTGGCAGGCATAACTACTACATAGAAATAGTCATAATATTCATTATTTGTATTGTATTTTATAGTTTATAGTTACCAGCACCATAACATTTAACCCTAATAATAACAAGGTCATTTGAGGGAAGGGATACTATAAACCAACCAAATTTAGTTGCTATTTTAGTATAGAAATTATAGCTATTCAAAGACAGGGTCTCACTGTGTGACCCTGGTTGGTTTGAAACTCATTAGTAGATCAGTTTGGCCACAAACTCACTAAGATCTGACTGCTTCTGCCTCCCAAATGCTGGGACTAAAGATATGCACCACCACACCTGGCTGACAAGATTTTTATACACTAAAAAAAGACAAGATGATGAACTCCAAGTCCATTCTCAGAGAAAACCACTCATCATTTCTTCTAAAGCTTCTAGAAATTCCTAGGAATGCATGAACATACATATGTCTTCTATGTACATATATATACATGTATATGTACACACACACACACACACACACACATATGTATACAAATACGTATGGTCATTACAAACACGTATCACCATACCAGCATGTTTGTGTAGGTTCCGGGGACTGAGCTCAGACCTGAAGGCAAGGACTCTACCAACCTTCTCCCTCCCTGCCATTCCTATTTTTTAAAAGCAATCTATATCTTCAGAATCAGATTTACAAGCACAACACAGGTCAGTTTCACTTACCCGCCTAACTTCTACCTCAAACACCAGGATTGAGTCTATTGGCTGAGTCCAGCCTATTACTCCTTCAGAGCCAGCAGCACAGGCTGAAGGAATGATAATTAACCGCTTTCCTCCTTTCTTCATGCCCAGTAGTCCATTCTCTAAGCCCTACAGAAACCGGAAGTAGGAAAAAGCTCATCAGACAAAAAGAACATAAACATGCACACAAACACATAAACTTACATACACCACACACACACACACACACACACACACACACACACACACACACAGAAACAATAAACAAATGTAAAAAAAGAATAAAAGCTGGCACATCTGGAGTGGGGCAAGACATTTAAATGATGGGAGTGGGCGCAGAATTATAGTATTAAAAGAGAATGGAAGCTATCACTTATTAAATCACATTTTTCCAGGTATAGCTATGGTTAAGCATTCCACCTGCTTGTTGTTGAATCCCATGATTGCTAGCACTGCCTTCACTTCTTAAGTGAGAAAACAGACTCTGGAGGTTCAATAACTGGCTTACAGATTACACAGTCAGTAGGTGTTAAGCTGATGTGGAACATGAGACCCGTCAAACTTCAAGGAGCAGGCCTTAACTATTTAACAGAAAAAGTCTCCAAAGAATTTGGGCAAAACAGGCATAGGCAATGCAGTGAAAAAACATTTTGTACATGGATGAATAGACCCAGCACAATGCCCTAACATGCCCAATACCATGACACTGAACATATGTTAAAATGGCCACTGATAAGCAAAATTCACAACTCAAATCCTAGAGCAGGGCTCCTCATGCTACACGCAGTCAAAAGACGAGAATCGAGCATCATGGCAGCAGCTGGGAGAAACAGTGCCACCTCTCCATCAGGCTGCGGGAACAATGGAATAACTTCCTCAGAGCCACAGGAGGAAAAGGAAGGGAGAGTCTAAGAAAACAAATGCACTCCTCTTCAGCACAGCTTCTCATAGGTAAACATTCCCCAATATCGACAGTGCAGAACACCTTTCCCCTCCCACTTTTCTTTTTTTTTTGTTTTTGTTGTTTTGTTTGTTTGTTTTGTTTTTCAAGACAGGGTTTCTCTGTGTGGCTTTGGAGCCTGTCGTGGAACTCACTCTGTATCCCAGGCTGGCCTCGAACTCAGAGAGATCCGCCTGCCTCTGCCTCCTGAGTACTGGGATTACAGGCATGCGCTACCACCCCCCAGCCCCTTCCCACTTTTCAACCAAGCATCTCCAGACTCTAGAAGATAAGGACAGGTTGAGGATGCTACAACATAAAAGCTAAATTCCAACAGGCTTTTACCTTGACAACTTTTCCTGATCCTAATTTCAGGCGAAGAGGTTTATCTTTGTTAGCAGTAGAGTCAAAAACCTGCCATTTGGTAAAGTAAAGAAAGTCAGTCAGTTTCAAAAACAATAATCCTCATGATGATAATCAACTACCGGGGTCAGTACTTCGGAACAGGAAACAACAGGTATGACGGGCACGTGGCTCCTGAAGAAGCTAAAAGGATGGGACTACGTCATGGTTGGAGGTTATCACAACGAACACCCTGGGAACAATGGTTTGCCAAGCTGGGGAACAGCACGCTCTGGCACCATCACATCTATAACACATTTTCAGTGACTGTACTCATTTGGTGCTGATACCGTCCTGCCAGGAAAGCTGGGGAGGATTACTAACCTCCCTGCACAAATGGGGAAACCCACGGGTTTCACAGATTTGATCCAGGTCAAGCTGGGATACAGCTGGGCCTTGATCTGCGCCCTCCCTCCCCCCCCATTGCTTGTTGTTGTGTTTTGTCTTTTGTTTTGTTTGATACAGGCTTTCACTATGTGGCCCTGGTGGGCTTGGAATTCACTATGTAGGTCTGGCAAGCCCTGAACTCATGGAAATAGGCCTGCACCTGCCTCCCAAGTGCTGGAATTAAAAACCTGTGCCACCACAGCCCACATATTCACACTTTTTAAGTCATACAACTCTTTCTGTCACATCCCATTGCTTTTGAGAACGTAACAGTATTAAAAACACAACAATTCCAACATATTTACAGTGTCTGGTAAAAGGAAAATGGTAGCTAGACACAGTGGCATGTGATTTTAATCCCAGAACTCTGGAAAGAGGGCAGAGGCAGAGACAGGCAGATCTCTGTGATCTCCAGACCAGCCGGGTCTACATAGCAAGTTGCAGGCCATCCAGGGCTACACAGTGAGTCCCTGTCTCTAAAAGAAAAAGAAAGACAGTGAGAAGGTCTAAAAATAAGATCTATTAACGCAAACAATAATAGGTCCAGCCTATATTGTTTGCTCACAGGGTCTGCGGAAGAGTCTACCAACCAGCTGAGGATTCTAATCTGAGGGCTATTCAATGAATCTAAGCACACTGAGTTCTTTAGTCCATTCACTTCATTCTTCTATGGCGATTCTATCTGCACAGTTTTATTTCTGTTCTCTTACTTAGCTCCTCTCGGTCCCTCCTGCTCTCAGTCCCTTCTGCTGTTCTCTCATCATTCTCCCTAGTTCTTTCCATCTCTGTCCTCATCTTTGTTCTTCTCCATCAATCCTCTTCTAGTGCTCTCAGAGAACCAGTCTATATACCCACCCAGTAATTCTTTGGTAAAGCAATGTGAGGCTTGAAGTTTTCAGGGTCTCAGAGAGAGGTGATAAAGATCCACACATAAAGCAATTAATTGTCAGCTTCCAATTACAACCCAAAAGGGGAGTGACTAATGGGGAGTTCTCTGGTAGGGTCAACTAAAGGCTAAGATCACTAGGGAATTTATGTGCTCAAACTATAATCTAGAAATGCTAGGTAGAATGTTAGGGGTCAGTAAGTCACAAGAAAGTAAACTGTCTTTGGCGCCACTTTTCCCACTCAGCCCGGCTGCAGCTGCTTTCTGATAGGGAGGGGGACATAGGCTGGGTGGCTAAGCAACCTATGTCAGAGCATGTAGTATTTGGTTAGTAAAAACACTTTCACTCAGAGTAATTGCTGAGGAGAAAATCTAGGAATAGCACCTGGCTGAGGAGAAATAAAAACTTAATTTGCACAAGAAAGAAGCTTGGCACCTATTGCCTGCCTGGCCTGGAGGCAATCTCCTTGGGTCAGTGGGAAGAAACTGACTTAACTCAGTACCTAGCAAATGGCTAAAACTTCATGCCAGGAATGTGAGCAGTAAATCTCTTAAGTTAGGTCTTGTGTAAATAACCCGGGGTGAAGGTAAGGAGTTTAGGATTTAATTGCTAGTGGTTCTTTTCTCTATCTGTGAGTGAGATGAGCTAATGTTTATGTGCAGTTTTGTCCTTGGAAAAAGGTATCTTTGCTGAAATACTTTTGTCTGGAGAATGGCCCTGGCCAGATTTATGTTAATGAAAAATAAACACAGCTGGGAACAGTTATCCAATTACCCCAAATGTATAGGGAAAGTTGTGCCCAAGATTGAGGTGCAATTGTGAGATTACATGTACACTAATATGGAGATGCACGGTAAGTGGGGAGACTCATAGCTGTTATTGCACAAGAAGTTTACAACAAGAGACAGCCAGTTCATTCAAAAGGCAGTAATCCCATAACACCTTGTGTGATGGTTTCCTCTAACAGAACCCTTAGTTCTGATAGGTTGACCTTCTGAACACTAGTTGTCACTGCCGTATACTCTCATGGACTTTCACTACCAGCAGCTCTCAATAATCTATTTCTTCAAGTTATATTCAAGTTTGAAACTGGCAGGGAGGACAAGACATACGCATCAATTATCCTTAGGAAACTGTGTCCCCCTAGATATGAGATGGGGTGTGGGGGTCACTGAGCACATTTGCACAGAAGTACTTCATGAATGTGTTTTGTGAAGACTGATTCAGTCTCTGCAAAGGTTTCTCCTGATCAGTAGCCACAGATCACATTCCATGTGCACATGGAAAGCCACGTGCCACTTACACAGAAAGAACTTGGAGAGTACACTGTCTTACCTGGCCCAGCATCTGATTCTGAAGGAGCCAGCCTGTATAGGCTACTTCCAAAGAATCTCCAGTATCTACAGCAGGACCCTCTGCTGCAACCAGGTCCTGACACAGCACCGAATCCAAGGAAGAACTGCTATTGCATTTGGCCACACACACCTGCAAGTCAAACCAGAGCACCATAAGCTTGCTTTAAGCTTCATACGTACCCATCCCATCACCGCTAATATTCTTCTCAAACAGCTGCATCTACTAACAAACAGATTACAAGTGCAGAAGTAAGCCATTCCCAAGTCAGTAATCGGGCCAGGAATCTAGGTGCCTAACAAGACAGCACTGGAGTCAGAATGTCTGGGTACAGAGCCAGGCAGTGCCACTTCTTAACTCTGACCTTCAGCAAATAACTTAATCTCCATAGATTTACCCGATCCCACTTGCAAAATGAAGAACAGCTTTGCAAATCTTATAGGGTGGCTATGGAAATTAGACAGGCCAGTTCAAACAGAGTGCTTAGCAATGCACCTAGGAAATACCAGTAAGTAAACAGAGGCTCTGACCTCATGATCTAATAACCACCTCCCAAAGACCCAACCTCCTAGTACCATTACCTTAGTGATTAGGTTTCAATAATGTGACCTCCTAGGGAAAGGTACATTCAAACCATAGCAGACAAAATCCATAGTACAAGCTTCTAAATAATTTTTCATGAGGTAGGAAGATAAAATACAGAAACCATAGAACTCTTGAAGGAATATACATGCATACACTTACTATATACATAAAAAAGCAATGTAATGTGTTAATATGTGTTACTCTGGGTAGTAAAGTTACGAATGTGTGTGTGCTACATGCTTGTGTGTGGATACATGTGTGTGTGTACATATGTGTAGAGGCCAAAGAATTAAAGTGTAGAGACTATAAGTACTCACCACCACTTTTGGCTTTCTCTTTATCACACAGTGCTGGGGATCGGACTCAAGTCCTCATGTTTACATGACAAACACTTTACCAACTAGTTCTTAAATGATTTTTTTAGATGTTTTTCTACAATGAGCTTATAAAATTTTAAGTCTTTTGATATGCTACTTTTACAGGTTTCATGTATCTTTAAGAAAATTGTGTAGCAAAAAAGGTAGGGATTTTTGCATCTGTATGTGTGTGTGGTATATGTGTATCTGTGTTCACATGTGTGGGCACATGGATATGAGGCTGTGTGTGTCTGGAGGCCAGAGGCTAATGCTAGGTGTCTTCTTTGATTGCTGTATTTACTGAGGCAGGGTCTCTGGCTGAAGGCAGAGCTCCCTGATTCTGTTAGTCTAACTGGCCAGTTTGTCCTGGGAATCCCTCTCTGCCACACCCATCCAGCACTTACTTGAGTGCTAGGGATGTGAACTCTGGTCCTTACACTTGTATAGCAACAAGTGTTTTAACACGGGACCATCTCTCCAGCCCAGCAAAAAAGTTTAATCAAATAAGCTTACATTTCCCCATTTTTCCCTTTAAATATTTCCTCAGGCAATTTCAGTAAGAACATCTATTCTTTTCCTGAAACACAGCAAGCTTAGTGGGTTCTTTACCTTGTCATTAATAACACAGAGCAGTTATGGTTTTGCCATAACTTAAATAAGGAAGACTCCAAACAAGTGCTCTGGCTTTGCACAGGAAAGAGTAAGAAGACGTCACCTGTTTATTGAACGCCACAGCAGCCTTCTCTGACTCAAACATGATAGACCAGTTTTGTCTCTGGTCATCATAAAAGGTGCTGTAGTTATTGGACCGAACCTGGGGGCACAAAAAAGTCTGGGTAATTCAAGCAGAGCAGCACGTGGGTAAATCTGACTGTCTCAGCTCCCAGAGGAGGACTGAGGACTGGTTCAGGGACTCAGGAAGTAAACAGGAACCCACAGACAGACGGACAGACAGACACAGACACACACAGAGACACACACAGACACACACACACACACACACACACACACACACACACACACACACACACACACACACACGTCCACTTTCCCAAAAGGAGCCAGGAGACCTTTCTGAAGGGCTGCTTACTGGTGTCCAGGCCTGAGCAGAGGATCTTTTTCTATCAGGAATGTTCAGGCCCATCTTTCCCACAAGCCTAACGGGGCTAGAGATTCCAGTAGGAGGGACTCTTACCATTAGCTCAAAGTTCAGATGAATTGTAGCAACAGTCACTGGCTGCTGCTGACTGATGTAAAGAAGAATCCTATACTGTAGTCAAACACAATGGACAGGAAAAGAAAACAGGCCATCAGTAAGACATGAGGCTATGCTTCCTGCAGCCACAAATCTCAAAACCGTTCAGTCTGTGAAACAGGATTTTTCACTGGCCATTCACCTCCTCTCATTCTGGCCTCACTCTTTAACTGTAAATAGCAATAACTGTATTTTGTTGGCATTTTCATTCATATGAGGGGTAACTAAGGGATAGTGGCTGAATGCTTTACAGAAAATGCAAGCCAGATTTGGTGGTGCATGCCTGTAACCCCAGCTCTTGGGAGGCTGAGGCAGGAGGATTGCCATGAGTTTGAGTTCAACATGAGCTATAGAATGAAACCCTGTTTCAAAAAACACCAACCAACCAACCAACAACAAAAATCTTTTAAATTTGAGGGGGGGAAATCATATAAATCATACACTTACAGCTCAGTGAATTTTCACACATATATGTGCCCATGTGGCAACCAGACAGATTGAGAAAAGACCATTGTTTCCTACATCCTAATAGCTCCCTTGCCCCTTTCCATCAATAATCTCTTCCTACTCCAGGGAACCACTACTATGACTCAGTCATAGACCAATTTCATTATAGTTAAATTACTATAAATGGCTTATAGATCTTGATTTTTGTCCTGCCTTTTTCATTTAATGTAGACTAAGCCTTGTCACTTAATTTACCAGTACTTGGTTCTCTATTGTCCATTACTATTATTCTATATGAATATACCACAACCTATTTACTCACTCTCCTAGTCGTGGCTATTCAAGTTGTGTCCAGTTTGAAACTATATGGATAGTGCATCTATGAACTTTCTCTATGTCTTATAGAGGACGTGGACATGTACCTCCTTCTACCTAATGAACTTCCTTTCAAGTTTCCCATAGTAATAGTCTACTGACAATAGGTTCTCCCAACTTTCGTTTGTCTGCAAATTTATTTTGTCCTCATTTCTTACGGGCATTTTTTTTGGCATAGAATTATACACAGGGGGTCAGCATTATAGCACAGGGCTACAGCATGTACTTAGAAAGGTCATGGGTAAGAAAAACCAGGGATGAACTTTGAGGGTACTGAGCTAATAAAGCAAGTCAATCACAAAAAGATAAATGTCACATGACTTCAATTACATGAGGTATCTAGAACAGGTAAATTCCCAGAGACAGCAGATTAGAGGTTATGGAGGAGTAAGGGTAGGGAGATGAAGGGGTAACACTTAATGGATAAACCCTGTTTGAAAAAAAAAAAAAAAAAAAAAAAAAAATGGGACTAGTAGTGATGAGCACTTAATACTGTAATTGTAATTAAAGCCTCTGGATTGGGGCTAGAGAGACAGGTCAGCAGTTAAGAGCACTGATTATTCTTCCAGAAGACCTGAGTTAAGTCCCAGCACCTATATGGTAGCTCATAACTCCAGTTCCAGGGGATCCTATACCCTCTTCTGGCCTCTTTTGGCACTAGGCACATAAGTGGTACATAGACAGACATGTAGGCAACCCACCCATATACATTATGTAAATAAATATATAATAAATTAATTAAAAAATAAAACAAAATAGCCACTGGACTGTGTACTTAAAATGTTAAAATGCAAAATTTTATATATAAAAAAAAATATGTCACAGTCGGCCTCTATGTGCCTAGATTCCAGTTCTGTAGATTTAAACATATACTTCTTCTTATAGTCCTTGAATAATATAGTAACGATTTATGCAGCACTTACATCTATCAGACGGTACAAATAACCTAGAGCTGACTTAAAGTATCATAATTAGAGTTGGCTCAGAGGTTAAACATAGCTGTTGCTCTTGATTCCTTGATACCCACATGTGGCTCACTACCATCCTAACTTCAGTTCCAAAAGGATCCAAAACTCTCTTCTCACCTCTGTGGGCACAGTGCACTCACTTGGTGCACAGAAAAATAATGCAGGCAAAATATTCTTATACATAAAATAAAACAAATAAATCTTTAAGATATTTTAAGAATCAATCTACTTCTGAGTAGTCCTGATTCTCAGGCAGCACCTTGCTTTTGGCTGAAAGCCTAGACTGTCTCTCCAACTCCCTGATTCTTAAAGTTCTACTCAACAGAGATTTTTAGCTGAGTTCTTTAGTACTTCCCCGTGAAGTTCAAAATCTAGCAAATACAAGCAGAGGAAGAGAGTTGCTATTGTGTAGGTCTCTCCCTCTACAAGTGTTTCTCCTATGCACCACAAAGCTGCAGTAATCGTTCCAACTCTGGCATAGTGCCGGGACTTCCATAGCACCCCTGAATTCCACAAATGTCCTAGGGGGGAAAACTGATGTAGAGCTGCGAGACTCTGGTTTTGTCAACTTCTCTTCTCTTGAGCAGTCTCTCTGCTTGTGTCATACCTGCTGCCTAAACTACACCTAAAGTCAGCAATGTACTCAAGATAGAGAACAGAGGCACCTCATTGGTGGTTTTTCCTTAAGATTTTAATTTATCTTCCCTTCAACATTTCTATAGCTCTCCAGCGAGGTTTTTATCCAAAAAACTTTACAATATAACTGTTGCAATTTATCTGTGTCTGTCTTTCTTTCTTTCTTCCTTCCCTTCCTTCCTTCCTTCCTTCCTTCCTTCCTTCCTTCCTTCCTTCCTTCCTTCCTTCCTTCCTTTCTTTCTTTTTTTTAATGACAGGACCTCACTGTGTAGCCCTGGCTGGCCTTGAACTCCCTATGTAAACCATATCTCCCTTGAGCCCACAGAGATCCTCCTGTCTCTGCCTCTCAAGTCCTGGGATTAAAGGTGTGTGCTTACCATCCAGCTATCAGCTTCTACTCTTTATTTAATGTGAATGGGTGTTTTGTCTGCACGCATATCTGTGCACCATGTCTGTAACTTGTGTTTGATGCCTGTTGAGGCCAGAAGAGAGCATTGGATCCCCTAGAACTTGAGTTACAGACAGTTGTGAGCAGCAATGTGGATGCTGGGAATTGAATTGGATCCTCTGAAAGGGCAACCAGGGCTCTTAACCACTGAGCCATCTCTCCAGACCCCCAAATTTATTTTATTTTCTATGTTTGGGTATATGGCCTACATGTATGTCTATGCATCACATGCATGCAGAGGCCAGAAGAGGGCATCAGATACCCTGAATTGGAATTACAGACAGTTGTGAGCCAATATGTGAGCACTGAGAACCAAGCTCAGGTCCTCTGGAAGAGAAGCTGGTGCTCTTAACCACTAAGCCATATCGCGGCCCCTTATCTGCTTCTTTATAATTGCTTCTCCAACCTACTACCTCTTTCTGGCCGTCAAGCATAGTGATGTCTCACAGCTAGAGTTCTAAGATCCAAACTGTAATCTCGAATGAATTAACAGGTCTAGATAACAGTTAGCAGCAGCTGCTAAAACACAAAACAAGAGACAGCCAGACATCATTTGCTTCCTGATAGGAGGATGGAAGATTTAAGGGACACAGGGACCAACTGCAATGGGTAACCTCACTAGATGTTGATTCAAATGGATGTACAAGAAGAAAAACAAAACAGGAACAAGGAAATTTGAACACTTCCTGGTAGTGACTGAGATTAAGATGTACTGTTTACTTCTTTAGGTGTGATAATGACCTGACAGTTTTGTTTTTAAGTATCTCATCTCTTAGAATTATATACTAAAGCATTTACCACTGAAATTGTATATTGAGATCTGTTCAAAATAAGCTGAGTGTGAAAAGAAAGGTGAGGGTGTGATCACAGATGAAAGACTTAATAACCCTAGCAAGAGCTTAGTACTAATACTTGTGGCTGCATATTTAAGCCCCGCTGATTTGTGTTTCAAATCTCCCATACCTGTTTTTGTGTGTCTTACAGTGCTGTCCATTGTATCAGTTACCATGGGCAACTAATCTTAGCTTTGTGCTGAGAGTGGCAGAGCAGCAGGAACCCTGTGTTCTCTGGGCCTCTGAAATGCTAGAATTGATGTTCAGCTCAATAATGTCTAACTCAACGTTCTGGAGCGGTATTTGAGCTAGATGTACCAACTCAAAGAAGTCAGGCTTAGGGGTGTTTGATGACATCCACGACACTTCACCCTGACTAATGTGCAGTGATCAACTGCTCAACCTTGTTTTCAGACTTGCAAAGGATAAATATCAGTCATTAGCTGATAAAGATGGAATGTGCTGACAGTACAATGAATGATCATTAACTACCCAACAAAGAACATCCTTAACAGTTTACTCCAAAGCTTTCCAGTTCTGACACTAGAACCATCACAAATGAAACGTCTAAAGCAAACATTCTGAGCAGCTGCACCTGCTTTAATGCCTAACAGTATACAAACTGAGGCCATTTACTGAATCCTACACACTCAGACTTATCATTAGTAGCCACTGTTATCCTGACACATGAGCCAGATCAGGCAGATAAAAACCAGACCCCTGGTACTAACAATACTTGGGATGTGGCATATGAATTGATGTGGGGCTTCTCACCTCTCTGGTTGTGTGGTTCCCCAGGACAGCAGCTCCGAATTTGCCCTGCTTTGCATATTGACCGTTTATGCTATTAAAGCAAGAAAACAACAGATATCAGGACCTCTATAAACCATGAAGAGCCAGCACTGTTTTGATACAGCTAGGCATCTGGCCTCTAGAAGAGGTCAGAGGTGAACAGTTTTTAATCTAAAGCTCCTCCGCAACTGCTTTTTCTCTGAGACAGGCTCTCATTGGTATAACTCTGGCTGGTCTGGAACTCACAGAGATCCTGCAGTCTCTGCCTCTCAAGTGCTGCGATTAAAGATGAGTGTCACCACACCCAGCTCCAACTTCTTTATTCCTCAGTCAGTTTTATTAGTTGTTTTTTGCCATTAGCTCTTTGGGGGCCCGCCACCCATCTCCCAAATAAATCACACACAAAGGCTTATTCGTAATTATAAATGCCCGCCCTTAGCTTGGCTTGTTTCTTGTCAGTTTTTCTTAACTTTAAATTATCCCATCTATCTTTTGCCTCTGGGCTTTTCCTTTTCTATTCCTGTATACCTTTCTTTGTTTCTTACTCCATGGCTTGCTGTGTAGCTGAGTGGCTGGCCCCTTGAATCCTCCTCCTTCTCTGACAACTACTTTTTTCCCCAGATTTCTTCTTCTATATATTCTCTCTGCCTGCCAGCCCTGCCTATTCTTTCTCCTGCTTTGATATTGGCCATTCAGTTCATTATTAGACCATCAGATGTTTTAGATAAGCATAGCAACACAGCTTCACAGAGTTAAACAAATGCAACATAAACAAAAGTAACACATCTTAAAATGATATCATACAACAAATCATCTATTATCCACAGTATTCCTAAGAACTTAAGAAGCTGCTGTGGAGGGCCCAAACATTAACAGCACAGACAAGATAATGTTATTTAAGGCCCTGTCTAGGCAAGGACTGAGGAACTAGGCTGCAATGAGCATGGGCTTCTGAGAAAGGACAGGAACTGCATCCTACACTTCCCTACCCTCCACCAGCGCAGAGCTTTGTCTCCCAACTACTCACTAGCGATATGCGTGCACTGCGGTTGCAAACAGTACTGACGAAGTGCCTGTGGTGGTGGTGGTTGCTGGTTTTGGTGCTGTCTGATTTCCTGAAGATGAAGAAAACAAAGGTGTCATTCATTTTTTTGATTTTTCACCTCAAAACTAGCCTCAAAATTCCACTTCATGCTTTCTGGTTGGTGTAACAATGCTTTCATTACCACTCTCCTCGTTGGATCCAGAAAGAGCTCCACAGCCTTGTCTGGTGGTAAGGAAACAGGCTCTAAGTGAGAGCTTTACATAATGACAGCAGATGATGCTAGACTCACTCCAGCCCCAACACCATATACCACAGACGAATGTTATGGCTGGATAAGAAGTACTGTCTAGAAAACAGGGCCATACTACAGTGTTCTTTTCTCTTTTCAATGCTCAGACAACTAGGGTATATAAAAATAAATGTATCTCCCTCTTCTAGTACAGGGAATTTAGGGTGATAGTGTGGATGAAAGTCCCTGGAAGGAACTCCACCTAACACTGAATCTCCTACAAGGCTGATGAACTGACCAGAAGACCAGTGATCGGGCTGAGGTAAGAAGGTTTGCAGGTTCAGAGCCTAATTACAACCTATCCTGGGTTGTCTTCAGCCCCCTCAGTAGCCCTCTCTTGCCCACTCATGTGTCTAATCTAACATCCTGGTGACTAACAGGCAGAGCCTTTCGGAATGTATTAACTTAAAAGAACACTAGCTTCCACCAACCAAAAGGCTAAGAATGTCATCAGATAACATCTGAGGCCTACAGCAGAGATTTTCTGTTTGTTTTATCCTCATGGCTCCACCGAGGTATATGAAAAAAACCTTGATTTGTGTCTTTCTTTATTCTGTTCCCATAAAACTTCACCCATATTTAGAGTAGTTTCCTCATCCAGTTAGTCCAGTATAGGAACTCCTCACAGATATGCCCAGAGTTGGTCCCTTAAGTGATTCTAGATACTACCAAGTTAACAACCAATATTAACCATCATAGCATGTCATTTCCAAAGACAGTTAGCCATCCAATCAACCCATTATGACACAATCCTAATGCCTCTTAACTTACCTGTGGCCACTATTCCCTGGCCTTTCTTAGGCTGCTTTGGGGCTGTGTACTGGAAGAATTCATTTCCATGGCCCGTAGTTGCTTGATCCAGTCCAAAAAGAGAAGCCAGCCTGGCACTGTTAATGAAAAATGAAAATAAAATTTCATCTGACATATCCCAAACTTTTAATCACTTTAAATGCTGCTGCCTGTGATCTTAAATATCTCTGATGGTGTAGCTCACCATTCAGTAACAGCAGTAGCAGCTGAGGCTCTCTGAAATCAAGTATTTGTGATTTGAAATCAGTAGCTGACCCAAGTTCCATCTGATTGTATTTCCTAAAGAGTTTCCAAATGCATTCCCCACTTCACATCCTCCATTTATGCTGCCATCACCTCTGTATGGGTTTTTTTTCTTTTTTTCCTTTTATTTTATTTTACAATACCATTCAGTTCTACATATCAGCCACGGATTCCCTTGTTCTCCCCCCTCCTGCCCCCCTCCCCTTCCTCCCAGCACACCCCCCATTCCCACCTCCTCCAGGGCAAAGCCTCCCCCGAGGACTGAGATCGACCTGGTAGACTCAGTCCAGGCAGGTCCAGTCCCCTCCTCCCAGACTGAGCCAAGCGTCCCTGCATAAGCCCCAGGTTTCAAACAGTCAACTCATGCAATGAGCACAGGACCCGGTACCACTGCCTAGATGCCTCCCAAACAGATCAAGCCAATCAACTGTCTCAGCTATTCAGAGGGCCTGATCCAGTTGGGGGCCCCTCAGCCTTTGGTTCATAGTTCATGTGTTTCCATTCGTTTGGCTATTTGTCCCTGTGCTTGATCTAACCTTGGTTTCAACAATTCTCACTCATATAAACCCTCCTCTTTCTCGATAATTAGACTCCCGGAGCTCCACCTGGGGCCTAGCCGTGGATCTCTGCATCCAGATTTCTCAATCCTTGGATGGAGTTTCTGGCACGACTATTAGGGTGTTTGGCCATCCCATCACCAGAGTAGGTCAGTTCTGGCTGTCTCTTGACCATTGCCAGTCTGTGTGGGGGTATCTATTGTGGGGGTATCTGTGGATTTCTGTGGGCCTCTCTAGCACTTTGTTTCTTCTATGTACTCACTCATAGGAGGATACTAGAGGTGGAACAAGGATGACTGGATTGCTACTCACATCACCAGGGAGGCTACCTGGAAAACAGGACCCCAAGAAAGACAGGAGGATCGCCCAATAATGAAGAAATGAATGAGATCTACATGAACAGCCTGGACATGAGTGGGAGTAATGAAGGGCGAGGGTCGAGGGAAAGAGAGCCTGTGGGAGCGGGAGATCCCAGCTAGATCAAGAACAGAGAGGGAGAACAAGGAATAGGAGACCATGGTAAATGAAGACCACATGAGAAAAGGAAGAAACTGTATGGGTTTTTTTCAAGATGGGGTTTCTCCCTGTAGTTTTGGTGCCTGTCCTGGATCTCGCTCTGTAGACCAGGCTGGCCTCGAACTCACAGAGATCCGCCTGGCTCTGCCTCGAGAGTGCTGGGATTAAAGGCGTGTGCTACCACCACCTGGCCACCTCTGTATAGTTTTAATAACTGCAATAATCTCCTAATTCACCCGCCCCCCCCCATCTACGTCTTACACAGTTCTCTCTCTCCCCAGACCTATTCCAGTACTGGGGATTGACCATAGGGCCTTGAACATGTCAGGCAAGTGCTCTCCCACCGAGCTATAGCCATCACCATCACCCTTTTCTATGTTACTTTACTTTATGATGGAGTCTGGCTAAGGGGCCAGGTTGACCTTGATCTTTCAGTCCTCCTGTGTAGCTGGGATTACAGGCATGTGCCACCAGACCCAACTCTTATCTACTTCTTATACATTCTACACACTGCATCTACATGATTATTCTTGATGACTCTTCAATATTAGTAAGATAGAGACTTGGAACTTGGGCCACCAAGATGGCTCAGTGGGTAAAGGTGCTTCTCACCAATCTTGATGACATGAGCTCAATCTGCAGAAAGCAGGTGGCCGGCAAAAGGAGAGAAACAATTCCTACAAGTTACCCCGACCTCCATACTCATGCCATGACACACATGTGTGCCTGTACCCATGCATCTACACATACACACTATAAATAAGTAAAGAAATAAATGTAAAAAAATTTTCTTTTTTAATCCAAACTCTACAAGATGAAGATGGTTTTAGAAAACCCTTCAAGACTTCATCTCCTTACTTCCGAAGCTTCCTACTTAGTCATTTCTTTCTTATCTCCAACTGTGTGCTACAGCTACTATAAGGAACTTTCAGCTTCTTTTCTTTTTAAAGATTTTATACGTAGCCCTGGCTATGCTAGAAATCATGATTTTGCCTGCATATATGTCTGTGCATCCCATGCATGCAGTGCCCATAGAGGCCAGAAGAGGGCATCGGATTCCATGAGACTTGTGTTAAAGAGGGTTGTGAGCTGCCAAGGGAGTTAGGAATTGAACCCAGGTCCTGTAGAAGTGCGGCCAGTGCTCTTCACTGGTGGGCCATCTCCAAATCCTTCAGTTTCTTATATAAGGCAGGAACTTTTTTTTGGAGAGGGGTGCAGTAGCTGGAGATTAAACTCAAGAGTCTCATGCAGGATGGGCAAAGACTTGATCATTAAACCACATCCCTAGGCCTTTAGACATGCTATTCTTTCTACCTGGAGCATTCTTCTGTGCCTGGTCTCCCTGGAAGCTAATCTAATCTAAGTTAGATGTTTTCCTGGGGCTTAAGCGATGTTAAGCACTATACTGAGAGCTAGGTAAACATGGGTGAGCAAAACTGGATTCTTTTTCCAGAAGTTTATGATCAAATGAGATTAGATATCACAAATTATGAGTTATCCAAAGGGGCAACCGTATATGGTGTTGTACTTCACCAACTAAGTCCTAGATCTATTTTCTTTAATTACTTACCCAGTCTGTTCTATTCTGTTATAGCAACACAAATCAATTGAGAAAATAATTAACTCTCAAATCCAGTCTATCCCTGAATTCTTCTTCTCCAAAGTTGCTCTTGGTTGGGGTGTACAAACTCTGAAGCTTCTCAACAACTCAATTCTTCTGGCTTTTTAAAAGCATAATTCATATGTGTGCATTACATTAGTATTTCACAAAATACATTCAATGTGGTTTGGCACTATTATTTTCTTAAAGAATCTAGAATGTTCCTTTAAGTGTCCTGTAAATGGGACCACAAATGTTTTCTTTAAAGACAGAGGTTTAGATTACAATGAAAATGTAATACTTGAGTGAGAGTAATGCCTGCTTAAGATATCAACAAGCGCTAAAAGAACATAGGAGACCCCACATCTATTCAATATAGTACTCGAAGTCCTAGCTGGAGCAATAAGACACAAAAGGAGATCAAGGGGATACAAATTGGAAAAGAAGAAGTCAAACTTTTGCTATCTGCAGACGATATGATAGTGTACATAAGTGACCCCAAAAATTCTATAGTGAACTCCTACAGCTGATAAACACCTTCAGTAATATGGCAAAATACAAGATTAACTAAAAAAAATCAGTAGCTCTCCTATATACAAATGATAAACAGGCTGAGAAAGAAATCAGAGAAACGGCTGCAGTGGTGGCGCATGCCTTTAATCCCAGCACTCGGGAGGCAGAACTGGGTGGATCTCTGTGAGTTCGAGGCCAGCCTGGTCTACAGAGCGAGATCCAGGACAGGCTCAAAAACTACACAGAGAAACCCTGTCTCGGAAAAAAAAAATAATAATAATAATCTTAGAGAAATCAGAGAAACATCACCCTTTACAATAGCCACAAATAATATAAAATACCTTGGGGTAATTCTAACTAAGCAAGTGAAAGACCTATAATGACAAGAACTTTACTTCTCTGAAGAAAGAAAATGAAGAAGATAACAGAAAATGGAAAGATCTCCCATGCTCATGGATAGGTAGGATTAATATAGTAAAAACGGCAATCTTAACAAAAGCAATCTACAGATTCAATGCAATCCCCATCAAAATCCCAACACAATTCTTCACAGACCTGGAAAGAACAATACTCAACTTCATATGGAAAAAAACAAAAAATCGAAGATAGCTAAAACTATCCTGTACAATAAAGCCACCTCTGGAGGCATCACCATCCCTGACCTCAAGCTCTACTATAGAGCTATAGTAATAAAAACAGCTTGGTATTGGCATAAAAATCAACATGTGGACCAAAGGAGTCAAACTGAAGACCCTGACATTAATACACACACCTATGAACACCTGATTTTTGACAAAGAAGCCAAAACTGTACAATGGAAAAAAGAAAGCATCTTCAACAAATGGTGCTGGCATAATTGGATGTCAACATGCAGAAGACTGCAAATAGATCCAAATCTATCTCCATGCACAAAACTCAAGTCCAAGTGGATCAAAGAACTCAACATAAATCCAGTTACTCTGAACCTGATAGAAGAGAAAGTAGGAAGTAGTCTTGAACACATTGGAACAGAAGACCACTTCCTAAATATAAAACCATAGCACAGACACTGAGAGCAACAATTAATAAATGGGACCTCTTGAAACTGAGAAGCCTCGTAAATAAGACAAAACAACAGCCTATAGAATGGGAAAAGATCTTCACCAACCCCACATCTAACAGAGGGCTGATCTCCAGAATATATAAAGAACTCAAGAAACTAGACATCAAAATACCAAACAATCCAATTTAAAAATGGGCTACAGAGCTACAGAGAAATTCTCAACAAAAGAATCTCAAATGGCCAAAAGACATTTAAGGAATTGCTCAACATCCTTATGTTGAGGAAAATGCAAATCAAAACAACTCTGAGATACCATCTTACACCTGTCAGAATGGCTATGATCAAAAACACTGATAACAGCTTATGTTGGAGAGGATGTGGAGCAAGGAGGAACACTCCTCCATTGTTGGTGGGAATGCAAACTTGTACAGACACTTTGAAAATCTGTATGGTGGTTTGTCAGAAAACTGGGAATCAATCTTCCTCAAGACCCAGCTATACCACTATTGGGAATATACCCAAGGAATGCTCAATCATACCACAAGGACACATGCTCATCTATGTTCATAGCAGCATTATTTGTAATAGCCAGAACCTGGAAACAAC